TTTTTTAACATTGTTGTAGCTAGTGGAACGACAAAACTTTTGTTTTGCCATGTAAACAAAAGGTATCCGTTATCCCCATAATAATAGCACAAGTATCTTGTAAATAATACGTGTAATAGTAATTTGAATTACAGGAACAGCTATTCGTGTTATTATTGAACATCTACATTTCTGAGATACTACGTTATCTTAGTGCTGCCCCTAATAGTATCTAATAATTGTCATTTGATAATTTATTCTCAATAAATCTGAATCATTCTTAAGCAAAGCAAATATAATATCTTATTTATATAACCTCTTCTGATGTTATTACATAGTTTTCATTCTGGTCATCACTGCACGCCTGGCAATAATGGTACCCTGGCTTGCTGAAAAGATGATACAAAGAAAAAATGTAAAACAGAGAATAAAATCTAGCATACCAATTTTGATACCAAGAAATATTTTTTCCACAGTTGACACAATTTTACTTGCTCGTCACGTCTATCAACGTGAAGTTATAGCAGTACATTACCGAGATATAACAATAACAATAAAGGTTAGTATATCTAAGACACCATGCTAGCAAATTTTGTGAGCTGTTTTTTTCCCTAAGATCACACTCTATTTGATATATTAACATAATGTAAGTATGAAATGCCGTTACTCACAAAAAAGGGATTCACCTTAAAATGTCTTCTATGCAACCTTTACAGTATCGGTGACCACAGTATGTTTGCACTGCATCACGTAATATCAATTTACAGCAAGTGCACAGGTATTTGTCGCCAACAGGATTCCTAAAAATTAGTTTCGAATAGCCGGACATCTTGAAATTGGTGGTAGTTTAGCTAAAAGAAAAAAAAGTTAACAATTTAGAATACAGTAAACTTTACATTAACACATAACTTATAATGATACAATTAGGTTATTTTGCATATCACTCATTTCATTTATGGCGTTCCACAGAAATGTGTGATGGAAAAAACAAATAATACAAGTACAAACAATCATATTGCAAAAATAAAAATAATTAATTTATAGAGTGTATAATAATTTGATATGACATTAGATAACTTCAAAAACCAAAATATTCGTATGTAACTTGAGTTTATTGGTTACGATTTAACGTAGACATTAGTGTTAATATGTCACATAATGGAATGTAGGGACATTGAATCATGCCATATCGGAGTTCTATGACATGACATACTATGACATAATATATAACAAATCATTGAAAATGACACAGTCCCCGTTAAATTTTTGAAAGTTCTCTTTGTGCTCGTCATAATAAAGCGGAGGGGTTGTCGTGACCGTTTCCTTGTACCTTGAGTCCCAAGCGGCAAATACAACAGATTGTTTATTTACATCAAATTCAAACACGTGTTGCGTGACGACCCCTCCAGTTTAAGACATGGCAAAGAAAAACATAGATCAAAAGTAAAAGTAAAACAAATTGAGATGCATGTCTATGTTATTGCACTTGCTAAAATTGTTTAAAGTATGTTTAAGAAAATGCAAGACTGAGGATCGGAATGAGGCACTAAAATTACCATACATCTCATGAATATGAATGCTTGTTGCCATGGTGCCCTGCAATAAATCTTTACATGGGCTTACAATGTTAACATATGTGTAATGACCGAATTCAAGATTCTGGTATACAGAATAAAGCAATTGCAACTCTTTGTATTGTCAGTTCTATTAGTGGCTAATATACCCTTTGTACAAGTCAAACGCCCTCTTGTGTTGAATAATATGAAAGCAGTGTCCTGAAATTTGCAGTTTTAATAAATATCAGTTCAAAACATTGCGTTGAATAAAATTTAACGTTTGTCATGCCTCTAATTTAAATTCACATGGGAGGGGGTGTCAAACAATGGTGATCTATCTGTGAATTACACTTGCCCATCTACATCATTATTAAAAATTAAAAGAACTCCCTTTGCAGGGGGGATAGTTCATCAGTTTATTATCGTACCAAATTTAAATAAAAACTGACAAAGCATGTATAAGATACCACATTTTCAAAAAACTAGATGGCTGCCAGTCATCCATTTCAAATCGAATCACTAAACCACTGCATGTACATATGTCCCACATTAAGTACCAGGCACATACAAAGAATGAACAAAATTGGTCCAAAGGATTCTGAAATATGACTCCGGACGGACGGACGGAAACACACGGACGGACGGACGCACGTTGGAAGGACATGTATGATAGCATGTATAATCTATGTACCAAATTTGAATGAAAATTGACAAAGCATGTCCAAAATACAACAATTTCAAAAAACAAGAAGGCTGCCAGTCGGCCATTTTGAATCGAATCACTAAACCACTGCACGTGCATATATTCCACATAAAGTACCAGACACATGCGAAGATGGACGGAATCGGTCCAAAGGATTATGAAATATGACTCCAGGCGGACGGACACACGGACGGACGCACGGACGGACACCGAATTATAAGTTCCCTTATAACGGGAACTAATTACGTGCAGTTCACCATGACCTCATGAATGTAATTTTAATGTCCAGCAGTGTGTTTTTTGATACCGATAGTATTCACTGAGTTGGGTAAACTACTTCGGGTAAATGTTAGGTAAACTATAGTTCGTATAAATATATGTTCGTAATTTACCATACTTTACCATAGTTTCACTCCTGGTAGGCATGTACTTAATGCTAAAGGTCACACTAAACATGACTACGTGGCTTTATGTATATGTAATTGTCACTAACGTCAGAGAATCGACTTACGCATGTTTAGCTGGCGTGTTTGCAATACTTACACGTCATTTTGAGCCGCCATTTTAGGGTCGAGTATTATGGCGTACTAAGGTGCGCCTCTGCTTACACACAAACATTTGGCAGGTAAGCAAAGTGACGTATCTGACATCGGGACAGAAATACCAGTCCAATTGAAAATATTTATAATAAGGGGTTCTCACATTCTCGTGCTGCTATTCAATTTTCCTTGATCACATGAACAAAATTATAATGCAAAGAGCACTGTTATCGGCTGGCAACCCGGGTTGTAATTAATATTTTAAGGTGTCAGTAGCAAAAAAAAAATATGATTCAACTAATGTTTTAAATAACATAAAGGTGTGCTATTACATATTCATCTTATGTTAACCACTGTTTAACTTCCACTTTGGTAGAGCTAATAGTGAAATGCAATGATGTAACGGGTGTTATTTATAGGCCACTGTATTTTATCAGATGTTATTTGAAGCCACAGTCACTGAGTGTGTCAGACACAATGAATCAACACATACTATTGAGATA